TATATATATATATTTTAATATCTTCAAATTTAGTGATTTTTGTTTTGTTCTATGGCTTCTGGGGTGTGAAATTTACTTCTTGAAGATCTCCGGAGAGCACCTTCTTCGCGGCTGTTGGCGCATGCCGTGGTTTGCGCCACGCCCTTTCAGCATGGTTTCCCGGCAGCTCGTGTGACAGGTTCTGGCATGTTTGTCTGTGCCGGTAAAGTACATCGGAGACATTGCCACCATCTTCAGTGTTTGCTGAAATGTACTTGAAAAGCGAAACCTACACCGTCACTGGGTTATATTATTAAAGCTGGAAAAGATAAAATTCCAACACTTAGAATACATCTCCTAAAAAAACCCTTACTCTCCTGAACTGTAAAGAACAAGTTTCATGGAACTTAAAATTCGAAATGGTTCTGTTCTTACAAAGTTAAGCTCCTTGCCTGTGGCTCGTCGGGTGACTTCATGGCGGCTTCATTTGTTGCCTGTCCGGTTCTCAGCACCTGGAGTTCAGGCCTGGAACATTCTACCCTAGAGGCTTCGCTCTGGGCAGGTTTCATTGGTGCTGACCGAACTGCGACGTGTTCGGGTTCGCTGCCCACGGCAGGGAGCTCCGTCCCTGAGACGGCAGTCTGATTCAGGTTGCCGCTTTGTGCTTTTTGCCACCTGGGGAATTACGCGACTCTTTCATGAACTGTCGCTCCGTCCGTGAGTGGCATCTCTTTCTGGAGGTAGACCCGACCTTGCGATACGGGTCGGCCCCTCGGCCTGGGAAAGCCGTGGTACGAGCAGGCGGCCAGCTGCGGCGTGTTTCCAGGGGCCTGATTCGGCTTTGCTGGTGGGCTGTGGGCGTGTTTGGCGAGGGCCTGCTTCGGAGCAACTTGCAGGAGAAGATCAAACGTCCGGATAACGGCTCAGGTGTTTGGCGGAGTTTTACAGCTGCCTTTCTGTTTTAGGGAATGACGTCGGCCGAAGCTCCTATGGGGCCATGCAGGTGAAGCAGGTGTTTGACTACGCCTACATCGTGCTCAGTCACGCTGTGTCGCCACTTGCGAGATCCTATCCAAACAGAGACTCTGAAAGGTAACAAGTCGGGCGTTGCCCTTGCTGGGCCCACAGCTCCACGGGCATGGCCTCGCACCTCCCTGGCCTCTGCAGAGCTGGCACTCGTGCCTCGCGTTTGCTTCCATGGAGTTCACTAACAGATTCAGTAGAACGTGAAACTGGGCGTAAAGGAAGGCCTCTCGGGAACTCGGGATGGCTGCGTCTCGTTCATCCAGGGTCACGAGTTGAAAACTTCTTACTTGAGGAGTTGACTTCTTTCCCAGAGTGTTTTGGGGAGGTGACTTCTGCCTTTTAAAGCTCGGAGTGTGCCTTGTCTGCTTTAGGCAGCCCTCCTGGTGCATGGGCAGCGTCTGAGCCCGCAGGTCCCGCCCCTCCTCTCGGGCAGCGGCGTCCCTCATTCTCAGACACGTGTGCAGGGTACACGTTGCTGGCAGGAGAACCATTCCTGACCCCGGGTGATGCTGCGTGATTGGGGGTGGGATTCGGGGGCGGAGGGAGGGAGACGAGAAGGGGCAGCGGGAGGGAGAATAGCATCATTGTCACAGATGGTGGCTGAGACGGTGCTGGCGGCTCTGCTCCTCGGGCAGGTTCTGGAATAAGCAGAACTGTGGCCAGCACCGGTGGTGCAGAGCCCTCTGTGGGTGTGGGGCCCGTGTCTCCGGGCTCCGCGGTGGGTGTCGCATGAGTCCCCTTGCTTGCCCCGCAGTGGGAAGTGGGAGTCGTACCCTCCTGATCGTGGGGGTGGGGGGTTGACGCGCCTCCCTGTTTCAGTGCTGGATTTAAACGGTCTCTTGTAGATTGATGTAGGTTAAGGGACGTCTGCATAAGTGAACCCGCTTTTCTGTGCTGTGATTGCAGTGCGTTTGGGCTCAAACATCACAAATTGCACGTACTTCATATAGTTGTTTTAGCTTGCCTTTGGATTTCACTCAGCAAAGCGTTCGGTCATTAACTTTGTGAAGTAGCTGCTGGGAAGGGTTCCCAGGCGTCGCAGGCCTGTCGTGCCACCCTGACTTCCCGTGTCGCCCTCTTGTAGTACCTTAGGAAGAATCGTCAAGGTAACTCAGGAAGTGATCGACTACCGGAGGTGGATCAAGGAGAAATGGGGCGGCAAGGCCCACCCAGCGCCGGACCCGGGTGAGAGATGGATCCGGGCGGGTTGCCCTTCCGCTGCTGGCCGTGCGGGGGGGGCCCTCTTTGTCCCTTCATGGAAAATGGTTCAGACTATGAAAAATGCCTAGTTTTTCTATAGAAGCTTAATTTAAACCCATTAAGTTTTAGGCCAGCACTGTCTAGTAGAAATGTAACACGTGCCACACGTGGAATTTTAAAGTTTCTAGTAAATGTGGAGAGAAACGGGTAACATTGATTTTAATAATATGATTTATTTAGTGTTCAAAATATTAACATTTGAAGATGTAATCAGTATAAAAATCATCGCGATGTTTTGCAGTCTTCTTTGGACTTTGAAATCCAGTGTGTATTTATACTTACAGCATATCACAATCAGGATGCTAAATTTTCACCAGAAATAATGATCTGTGTTTCGATTTCATAAAATGTATGGTTGAAAACTATTTACGTGCACAGATATTTGTTCCAGATATGCTTCAGTGTTTTCTAATAATGGAAACAAATATAATTTTAAAAGTAATTACAATGAAATAATATTAGACGTCCACTTTGTCAGTCTTAGTGACACTTTGGGGCTCAGTCACACCTGTGGCTGTCCCAGTGGTCCTCGCACGTCTGTACTCCTAGGTGGTGACTAACGCAGGCTGCGTGTTCCTGTCCACAGACAACAGAGTTAAGATCAAAGAGCGAGTGAGCACGTGCGACGGGGAGCAGCCCCCGCGCCGAGACCCGGAGCCGCCCTACAGCCAGCGCCTGCCCCTGTCCCTGCCCAGCCCCCAGCTCCTGTCCTCGGGCTCCTCCGCGTCTTCCGTGTCTTCGCTTTCCGGGAGTGACATCGTGAGTATGTGTGCCGGGCGGTCTGTGCGTGTGGACGTGTCTGGCAGGGTCGCAACGCCCTTCGTTTTCATCCCTCTCTGTACGTGTGTGCGAGAGGCCACCCCAGGTCTGCGCCAGGTGGCCCGCCCTCTGCCGGGCGTCTCGGGTGATGGTTAGGGACCCCGGTGTCAGTGGCCCATGGCCACTCAGTGCTAAGGCCACTGGCGCTGTGATCGCAGTGCCCTTCTCGAGTAGGTTCTTGAAAACGTCCGTGGTCAGAGAGAAACCTGTCTGGGTTCCCGTCTGTGTTTCCTTTAGATCCTCGTTCAGTGTCGAGACGGGGGGCGTGCGGGCCAGTGCGGGCCGCATGGCGTTGGCGGCGGTTGGTGGCCTCGCAGCCCCGGACCGCGTGCACGCTGCAGACGTGTCTTTGGTGACTGGGGACGCCCCTCCCCGCTCTCTGCTCACAGGATTCCGACACGCCGCCCTGCACCGCGCCCGGCGTCTACCAGTTCAGTCTGCAGGCGCCCACGCCCCTGCTGGCCAGCCTGCCCGCCGCCTTGCCCCTGCCGGCCGGCAAACCGCAATCCACTGCTTCTAGAACGTTGGTCATGACGACGAACACTCAGGTACGTGGCCGTGGTGCCCGTCCTGTGGTGGGTCCCCTCGGGAGCCGTGCCTGAGCTGTGACTGTGCTGTAGGAGTGGCCGACCCTTTTCACTTAGGAAAAGAGGTTTAAGAATCTTTGGAAAGTACATTTTTGTCCCGTAGGAAATTGCAGCTTGGATGACATTTAATTCCTTTCATTCTGCGGAAAACCGTGTCACCCAGGCCCACTAAGTACAGTGTTTGCAATGAGAAGACTCCGGTCTTGAGCACTGAAGTGGCTTTTTCAACAAGGTCCAAATTGCCTGTTTTCCTGCAGGTCACATTGACACTCAGTGTGCGCAGAGTTCTGGAGTTGCGTGAGAGAGGGACTCAGGCTTTCCCTTGATGGGAACCGCCCTGGTCCCTATCAGAATCTCAGTGTTTCGTTTTAATGTAAACTTTGCCTTTTTGCACATTATTCATTAGGCAGTATTTATAGAGCTTTTTCTATTAGAATATGCTTTCTGTTTTTGTTTAAATTTAGACAAAATTAGAAGTCTAAAAGACAATTTCAGAAATAATTTGGTATTTTTACGTTAGTTGAATACGAGTATGTGTAAAACCCATCACATGTTAATTGACTTCAGAGCCAATCTGTGCAGTGTGGTTATAATTTGAGCGTCAGGTGACGTAGATCATGCAGGGAGGGCCGCCGTCCTCTCCAGAGGTCTTCGAGGCCAGTGTCTGCAGGATGTGAGCAGTGTGGTTCTCGACAGTCTAAGGACAGGGGTTCACGCCGGCACCCTGGGCCCCGGCAGAACACGATGCAGAAATAGGAGCCGTCCCGGAACTGCGGAGGGGCGGGCGGGGCTGGCCTGCCCTCGGGACCCCTCACTGCGGTGGCCTCGGGCCGTAGGCCCGTGTGAGTTGGAATGTGCCAGAGTCTTTGCAGAGATCCGGGGGACAGCTGTTACTCCGATAAGTGTAATTTTTTTGAATTGTCGTGTGGTCTTCAAAGGACATTGAAATTTCATGACTTGCATCCAGAACAACATCTTGTTAGGTTATAGTCTAACACGACCTTAATCAGATCGGAGCCTTATGGATATCTCTGGTGGCTCTGTCCCTAGACCAGGTTCACTATGCCTCCGCCAGCCCTGGGGGTGGCCCCCGTGCCCTGCAGACAGGTTGGCGTCGAGGGGACTCCAGCGCTGAAGGCCGTGCACCACCTGTCTTCCCCGGCCGTGTCGCCCAACCCACTCTCCAGCCCTCACCTGTATCACAAGGTACGTGTTGGCCCGGCCCGGCCCGGCCCCCAGCGGAGCAGGTCATGGTGGCTGTGCTCGACGTGTCCTGCAGCCGACAGGCTGCCACAGAGACTTCAGAGGGAGTTCGTCCTCTGACCGTTCAGCTCTGTTTGCAGTCCCTGTAACAGACATAACTTTAAAAGTGTTATTTCAAAATTTAATATATTTTAATTCATCTCCACAAACACTTTAATTATTCTGTTGAACTCATTAGCATAAAACTGAAGTTTGAGTTAAGGCTCAAAATGAACATTTCGTTTTCCCATTTATCTATTACGTTATGTGCTAAAAACACTTTGGTTTTTAAGAAGCAAACTCAAGAGCTAACAGTGGCGCAGCTTGGTGCATGGCAGGCCCGCGGGGCACTCCCTCCGGCGTTCTTCACGTGGGGGGCCGGGCCGGAGGGGCGGGTCCCACCAGTCATTAGCTTTCTGGGCCCCAGGCGTCCCTACGAATGCGTGTCTTCACATCTCTGTGGCAGATCTAAGTCCAGATCCCACACAGTAGAAACTCTTGGGCCATTCCTGAGTCCCGTGCTCCTGAAGTGCCCGGGTGTTTGAAAGGGTCGTTGGCCGGCATCTGCTGCCAGGAGTCAGGGTGGCGTGTCTGAGGCCGCTGTCTCCCCTGGGCCCACACTCACCGCTGTCCCTCTGCATCACCCCAGTCAGTTCCTCCGTTGCTCATCCAATCATATTTTGCCAGCTGAGTTTTGATTCTTGACCTTTGGTTCTTTGGACCTATGTCATTAAGTCCTGATTTTTTATTTTTTTTAATTTAGACTTAGTAATATTCCTTCTTGGATTTATTCATCTTGTCACAAGGAAGCTTTCATTATATTACCAGGTGTATGATGCCGGCCTCTTAGAAATATTCAGAATGAAACTATAGCTTTGCAGCAGGGAAGAGCAGCCCTCGTGAACTGCGTGTTAGCTTTCCTTCTCAACTCCCTTCTGAGCTCGTTCTGCTCCGAGACCTTCCCGAAGCTGGCCGTGTGCTCTGGTCCGCTTCGCGTGGGCTTTGCGGTGTAGGAGCAGCGCGATCACATTCTGCTGCGTGTGAATTGTGGCTCAGTGCTGAGACATGGGCTCACGCACCGTTTCCAGAATGTCGCGGCTGAAGTTGGGGGGAAGAAAATGAGAGGGACCCTCTCTTTTCTGCGGACAAAGAGAGCCATTTAGAAGTGAGATTCTGGATGTGTTTGGATATGAAGGTGTATCGTTTGATGCAGATCTACAGTTCTTACCTTGAATGAGTCACTGAACAGGAATAGTATTTTTGTCTCAAATCTAGTGAAACTGTGACATCTACGAGTGTGACTCTGTCAGATAGAGCTTCTGTATTTAACGTCACGTGCACGCTGCGTGCATCTCGGTCGTCTGCACACTCTCACTGTCCGTAGTTTCTAGCTTTTCTCCAGGGGAGGGTCACACCCATGGTCACTTGAGTTTGCTGCCCCGAGACTGAGCTGGCAGGAGCTGGGGTGGGCGGTGTCCCATGCACCGTGTCTGGTGTCTCCAAGCCTCCCCCTGGTGTCACTGTCCCTCTGTCTCTTCAGCAGCACAGTGGCATGAAGCTGTCCATGAAAGGCTCTCACAGCCACAGCCAGGGTGGCAGCTACAGCTCTGTGGGCGGCGGAGGCGTGCGGCCCCCCGTGGGTAACCGGGGACATCACCAGTATAACCGCACCGGCTGGAGGAGGAAAAAACACACCCACACGAGGGACAGCCTGCCCGTCAGCCTCAGCAGGTAATAGCGCGCGCGGGCGCCTCCCGCCCCCCACCCTCACAGACTGCGCCGTGGCCTCGGCCTGGCCGGGAACTGAGACCAGCATCCAGCACGTCAGCCCGGGCTCTTGGAACGCCCGCCGCTGATCACTCTGCATGTCCCTCGTGTGGTGGTCACGTCCATCGTAAAGAACACTCCTCGTGCGCATCTGTGAAGCCTTACTCAACGCGGACGCTGCTTTCTGCCTTCCCAGGAGTTTTCCAGAAGCAGGTCTGGACCTGGAGCTGCAGGGAGTGACGTCGGCCTGGGCGTTGGTTTCTCGTAGCCGAATCTGTCCCTTCGGTGGGGTATTTTCATTTCTGTTTGTCAGCCACAGAGATCAGCCCGTCCTCGGCCGCTGCACAGCGGGGACGACAGGCGGTCACCCTCGTCTTACTGCCCTTGTATTTTGTTTCAAATTTCAGAACTGTTTTTTATGTAAATATTGAAAACTTATGATTTGTGCAATAACTCAGATATTTTTTATTTAATTTCATATTTTCACATAAGTTATATTTAAAGGAGGAGGGAATTTTTTTAAACAAGCTTAGGTCCTTTCCCGAGTTGCATTTTCTAAGTTGGGTTCATCGTGTCGCTGGTTGTCGGAGGAGCACTGTGGCAGACCGCACAGGGGCACGAGGGGCATGGCTTTGCCTCCCACCATCCTGGGCTGTGGCGGGGGACCGCTCCGTCCGTGGCCCAGGAGCCCAGTGGCTCCCCTGCCTTCTGACAAGCGGCCGGCCGGCTCTGCTGTCGCTGGTCTGTCATCTCTGGCCACGGAGTTTTAACATTTTGGTTTTGGTTCTTTTAAAGTAGACAACAAATCCAGCATTTAAAGTGCCAGAGTATAACTTTCCAAGGGAAGAAGACGTGGTCACATCATAAAACCTTTTAAAAAAAAAGCAACGTGAACTTCTAAATGCTTCCGTCAGTTTCAGTTAAGTAGCTCGTGACGAGGGGTCTGGTGAGTGTCGTCACGGACGATGGTGCCCAGTTTTAGGAATGTGGAGGAAGGAATTGCGTTGATTCCTGTGCGGAATCTCTAGCCATGTGCATCCGTTCTGTTCAGAGCAAACCTAGGGGAAGCCTGCCCCTGCGAGGTGCGCTGATAGCCCCAGGGGCGGCTGTCGCCGGCTGGGGGCACACGCGCGTGCCGTGCAGGTGTGCTCTGCCGGAAACACCTCTGTCTGCGTTGCCTTTTTTTTGAACAAGACTGTATCCATCCTGCCTAACCTGAGTGTTCAGAGCACCACGGTTGCCCTGGGAGTTAGCTGCATCTCACGGGTCATCTGCTGCCCCGCCCGTAAGCGGGGTCTGCCCCTGGTGGCACTGCAGGCAGCTTGGCCTCTAGGTCCGCTAGTGGAGAGTGTCGAGACGAGAAACTTGCAGTGGTGATGCCTGGCCGACGGGCGGACGGGGGCGTTTTCGAGCGAGGCCCGAGTGTGATGGCGGGGACGCGCTTTCAAGTGCCTCCGGCCTGGCTTTCCTTTTAAGCAGGACTGGCCCACGTTAGTTAGCACTGAGGGCTGCCAGCCGCCACCGCAGGTCCCCTGGGGGCATTCCAGAATAGAGTAGCACATTCTGTCTGCAGTTCTTATTGATCGAAAGTTATCAAAAATATTTAAAGATATTTAAATTGTGAACCTATTGATAAAAACATATTTATAAAAACTGATACATAGGCCTGTACTAATCTTCACGCATTAGCAATACTGACTGTGACCCTGCATCCAGGACACTGCTGCGGGGACCGTGGCGAGTGTCCCGTGGGTGTCCGTTTTAAAGCTCGATTCACACGCACAGGCGCCGTGCCCCGCCCCGCCGTGGCGCACCGAATGAATTGGCCTGGCTGCCACTGTGGTCACACGCCCCCGGCGTGGCAGAGAAGCATCATGTTTCGATTTTGTTTTGTGTGTGGACAACAATGTGGAAGCTAAAATTGACATATTTTTATGTAAAGTTTTTCTATTCTTTGATTTTTAATAAACTTTGGAAACCAGGTGGTGGTCGTGCTCGCGTGCTTTCCTCTGGGGTGGGGAGAGCGGGGCTCCAGTTCCACAGTCTCGCGTGCTCTGATGAAGACCGTGAAAGATTTTCCATCCACTGCTTCAGTAACTTCGGAACCCAGCTGGGGTCCCAGGCTGAGAAGGAGTGAATCGGAATCGAAGCACATTCTGCGTTCACGGGGATGCAGTACAGCTGTGTAAATGATACAGTCGATGTGGGGTTTCTGGCCTGACGCGGTGACGCTGTACACTCAGAATCCCCAGTGGAGAGCGTGTACTCTGCCTCCCTCCTGGGTCAGCATTTACACTACTTAAAAAGAACACATTTCCAGCTGCCAGACGATCACGTAGCTTGAAACATAACTTAGGTTGAGCATTCACAGGGAAGTTTATAAAACTTACTATAAGCCACGGGGCGACAGAACTAAGCTCAGCCCACATGATCCCTGAGCTCGTGTGCTCTGGACCTGTCGGCAGCGTTGGGAGGCGGGCGTCGGGGTACGGCGGGTGTCGGGGTACAGCGCTCGACCTCGTGGCCCTGCCATGGGGTTTTCTGAGGGTGCTCTGAGCACACGCACACCTCACAGCGCCTCGCTCCTGAGAGGTGGCAGAAAACCTCCGAGAGCTCAGGTTCCAGGTGACATCAGCGCTGTGGAGAGTGTGCAACGGCTGGAGGCACCGTGGGACCTGGGCTGACGCGTTCAAACGCTTCTGACACCACCGGCTCAGGACGCGGGGCGCGTTCCCGTCCGCCTGGGTCCTGCTCAGCGTTGACAGTTGCAAGGTACCGGCCGTCGCAAAGATGGAGGAGCGTGCTGTCATCGTTTCACACGTGGTGACCCCAACGTCTGGTCATTTTGTTTTACTCCTTTTTGTTTTTTTTTTTAATTTTCAAAGTCACTTTCTCCTGACCTTTCCCCATTCCCCGCCCTCCCCTTCCATCCTCCGTGCTCCTGCCGCCCCTCACCAGCCGCATGGCCTGGCTCCTCGTGGGAGAACCCTCACCTGCTCACCGCGAAGTTAAAGGCGTCCAGGATGGGGTCTGCTGCCCCGAGGGGCGTCCAGCCTGAGTGCGAGAGGTCAACAGCCCTGGTCTCCACCTGTGGGACCTGCGTTCCCCTCGGGGCGCATAGCGAGTGTTGGCAGGTGTTGGCAGTAACCCCTCTTCTTCCTGTCCACCCTTTCTGGGGCCGGCTCCTTCATCCACGTCCCTCCACCCCAGGGGTCCGCGTGGAGGGGTCCCGAGGGCTGTCCTGTGGTGTTGGACCCAGAATCGTCGGTGGTCACTGATCGTCGTTCCTTGTGACCGTCACTGTCGTGGTAAGAAAGTCGGATTTCTTCTGTGTTGTTGTTTAACTTTAGAACTTGCCTTTAGCAGGTCGTGAGCTCTCCGAGGTGCGCATGGGGCCGTGTATGCGTGCACGTGTGGGTCCCTCACAGGCTCGGCGCCGTGCTGGACACCTGGGAGTTGCAGGACGCGAGGGTTACGGGAGCTGGCCTGCTGTCCCGTGCCACAAAGTCCGGAGCAAACAAACAGCAAAGCTTTAGTGAAGAAAAGTTATGTGGACAAAAGCAGCGGGGAGTAGAGTCAAGGCCCGGGTCCCCTTTTTAGGATAATGGGAACGCAGATACGCACCAGCATTTTAAGAAGTGTTCTGTCTCTTTAACTGGAGCATAACCCATCCTGGAGGGTTCTGGTTTGACAGGGCGCCTGCTCTCCCCGCAGCCCAAGCGGGAGGAAGGCGGGCCACAGCGAAGCCAGAGAAGTCCAAGGTTTCCTTCTGTTCTGCTGTGCTTCATCGTTTCCTGCCTTTCTACTCCATCTCGAGTTTCCGCTGGGGGTGTGCACGCCCGGCATCCGTCTCCCCTGCTCAGTGAGGGTCTCGGGGTGAGGACCCAGGCCCTGGGTGGGCAGCGCTCTCCTCCCCGACCCCTGGGTGGGGGTCTCGCTGGGGGCTCCCTCTGGCGTCCAGCTGCCTTTGCTAGTCCTTGGGGAGGGACGTGCTGGCCGCTCCAGTCTGGCCAAGAGGAGATGGGGCGCTGTCTTCGTGAGCAGTTTCTCAGCCATGTGAACCTCCCAAGCTGGTTGGTCCTTTCCTCCCCTGGGGGTTGCAGGCCTGCAAGTCACCACAGGGCAGTAGGGTCCCCTCCTCAAGGGAGAATGGCCCCCTGAAGTAGGTTGAGGATGTTTCAAAAGAAACCATGTTTTAAAAACAATGCAGGGAAACGAACATTTTTTTCCTTCTATTGAAAACAAGAAACATCTGTAAAATCCCACGGTGGTGTGAATGCGAGGGCCCTGCCACTCCAGGGGTGCCCGTCAGGCCCACCCCCCGACCCCCAAACTGCTGACATCAGATTTCCACCCTCCCTGCAGAAACTGCAGCCTGCCTGGCCTGCACAGGGGACTGGTGGCTGCTTTGTCCTCAGGGTCCCATGTGCTGGGAGGAAGTCTGAGTTTGACGGGTGAAGGGAGCTGAGCCCCGGGGCCTGACCCTTGGAGGGACCCTGGGAGGGAAGCAGAGCAGGACATGGGCCAGGTCACGGTCCAGTCTCCCTCCCTTTCACTCACGAGCTCCCACTATGCAAGTGACCCTCTCTTGGCACCTCTGCCCATGGGCAGGGACGTGGAGACCCACTCAGGGCCGAGAGGGCCATGTATCGGCATCTGTGCAAAAGCCCTCTGGGCCACCTTCTCTAACCCACCACTCCGGGGCTGGGGTGGGCTTCCAGACCGGGGCTCATTTCTCTTCCCCACCCCTCCCTGGGGCTCCATCCAGTTGCCCCAGCACCAAGTGGCTGGGCGGGGCACTGGGTGGGTGTGGCACATTGGGCAGGGAGGTCAGTTCTCCAGGGGCAGAGGACGCGGCACATCTCTCCCGAGGGAGAAAGGATGCTCCACATGGGGGTGGTCACTGGAGCCCAGGGGCAGGGGGTAGTAGCCCTGGGGGTCAGGGAGCTGGGGGGCTGGTAAGGTGAGAACCCAGGGTCTCGAGCTGCTGCCACCACTTGGGTGACAGGGACACGCACCCTGTGGGCGGGGCTGTTTGTGGCCATTTAGTCTTCCAGCCCCGGATTCTGGGGGCTGGTCATTTAGTTGTTAGGTTTATGGCCACGTTATGAGGTATGAGGACAGCAATTTTGGCAAACACTGCGAAGTCTCAGAATCTAAGTTCGCAGTGAATAAGTATTTCTTATTTTGTCAGAGGAAGAAATCAAAGCGTGTCCCTGTCTCTGCTCTCCCCTGCAGCGATGCCTCCGCCCTCTGCCCGTTCCAGCCCCGGTGGGTGCTGGGCAGGAGCGTGAGCTGCCACTCGTTCCCACAGGCCTGGCTGCCTCCACAGCACGACCTTCCCCCACCCCGCAAGGTGACGCCACGGGTCGGAGGCCACACACAGCTCAACCATCTCTGCTCTGCAGGGGACGCAGCTCCTAAGTCCCAGAGGTGTTTCGTAAAGTCGTGCTTTTCCAGAAACTCGGTCCCAGGATCCAGTGTTTTGTGTATCCGACAGTTCAAAGCAAATGACCACTCAACCATCTCTGCTCTGCAGGGGACGCAGCTCCTAGGTCCCAGAGGTGTTTCGTAAAGTCCTGCTGCTTTTCCAGAAACTTGGTCCCAGGATCCAGTGTTTAGTGTATCTGACAGTTCAAACCACATGACCATGAAAGCGGTTTTGCTTAATGAACGTCCAGCTTCTCCTTGCCCTTGGTGATGCCGAGAGAGTCACAGGTCAGGCCGGGGCCCCGACCTCCCACACTCCCGCCAAACCCGTCAAGACGAAGGTGGGGGCAGCACCCAGGCCCCAGGCCAATAGCAGTTGGGCCTCTGGCCTTCAAAACTGTAAGAAGATAAAGTCATGCTGTGTTAAGCCACCAAGTTCATGGGCATCTGCTATGGCATGTCACCTTCCAGGGGCCTTCCTCACTTATGTCCTGGTTAAACATTTTTTTTTCTCCCCGTGCAGTTGGTTCAAAGGTCGGCACAGAATGACAGTGAAGAATGTGCTGGAATGGGCTTAAGTTAGAAGAAAATTTTACCACATCCCAAGGACAACACGCGCCACAGCCTTTGAGGATATCTCTACCGCACAGAGATCACTGACCACTTGTCACTGTCCCAGAGCTGGCATCTAACTCGCCTGGTCCTAACCAGCGGTCAGCGGGAGGCTGAGCAGTGCGCATCTACTTGAGACATGAGTCGGGGGTCTCTCGGGGAAGCTGCTCAGCACCTGCCAGCCCAGGGCCGGCGTGCTCACCGTCCAGGCGTCGCGCAGGGGCCCACAGAGACGGCAGGCCAAGCACAGGCCGTCGGCCGTGCACTGGGCATTGGTGACGCGAGCGGCCGGTGCAAAGGCCAGGCTGGGCAGGGTGCAGGAGAGCTTGCGCTGGCCTCACCCCGAGGCCCATGGTGGGGGTTCTCCTGGTCCATCCGGGGAGCTCTACAGAATCTCTAAGACCCACGTGATGTCACCCTGTGTGAAGCCGACCTACGCCCAGCCTGACTCTCGCAGGCAGAATCAAGGACTTTTGGAAGAAAGGCCCACTCACCCCGCCTTCCAGGACGGCATCGGCTACACTGCCTGACCGGGGAAAGGCTCGGGCGATGCGATTTGGTGGAGTGGTGGTTAGCACCCTGCGTGTGTGCACCTGTGTGCATGTGCGCCCGTGTGTGCACTTATGTGTGCATGTGCCTGTGTGTGCACCTGTGTGCAGCTGTGTGTGCACGTGTCTGTGTGCACTTATGTGTGCATGTGCCTGTGTGTGCACCTGTGTGTGCACCTGTGTGTGCCTGTGTGTCCGTGCCTGTGTGTGCCCGTACGCATGTGTGTATTGACATGCACACAGGAAAATTCGAGGTTGCACTCCAGGCAGCCCTGTCGAACAATCACCTGGGTCACATGGTGGCGCTTGTTGATTCTATCTTCTTATAATTAATGTTTTTCCGTGAAACAGTTTTCAGTTAGATTTTCGTTTGACAGGGTGAAACTCATCTGA